TGAGCTGCATCCTTTCCCATACTGCAAATGTTTCTTGGCTCCTGGGGTGTTTTAGGGCACTATTGAACTTTGGGGTGGGGTTCACGGAAACACCCAATTCGCAGTTGGCTGAGCATGAACGCTTACAGCCAGTTGGCTCTGTGTCTATGTGAAGGGAGGGCAGTGTGACTATTTTCAGTTGAACACATTGTCAACTTCAGACAACTCACATTAGTCTGAAGCTGTAAATTAAATGTAAAGCGTTTAATTTGGAGGGTTCTGCTCTGAGCCTGCGTAATCAGAACTGAATCCTGGACACCTACTTAGTTGGTGTCTGAGAACTGTTGTTCAATGAGTAGGGGAGACATAAGCTCTATAATGCAAAACACTGATCTGCTACCACACTCAAGACCTAAGCTTAAGGCCCCAGTGGGAATTGAGTGGAAAAACACTCTAGGAATAAGTACCCAATTTACTACTTGGAGCAATATATATATTTATATATTTATATTTTGGTTTTTCGAGACAGGGTTTCTTTGTGTAGTTTTGGTGCCTGTCCTGGATCTCGTTCTGTAGCCCAGGCTGGCCTCAAACTCACAGAGATCCGCCTGCTTCTGCCTCCTGAGTGCTGGGATTAAAGCGTGCACCATCACCACCTAGCTATATTTGTTTTTAAGAGCTTGTTACATGCAAAATATTCTGCAAACTACAAAGCATTATTCATCCAACAGTTCAGTCCTAGTGAGCTGTTCTCAATGTTTCCAGTCAGATCCAGCTGCATCCTGAACATGCCAGCCTTTTGGGAAAAGTAATGTGAGTTCTAGCTGCCCCTCTCATGTGCCAAATATGGAAGCTCAAGGGATACTTTTAACACTTTGAAACGCCTTTGCCTCTGATCTCTTATTTTGTGATCAGAACTCTTCAAAGAGGACTGTGCTTACTTTCATACCTTGGCTCACTGCTTACAACACTCAAAATTCACTAGACACTTCTTTGGTAATTTACATGTTTGAGGTCATTATCTGCCAGGGTTAAAACGTACCTACACCCACAGGTCATCCTAAAACACAGGTCATCCTAAAACACAGGTTGTTATAACTTCTCAAGATTTTCTAACTTCAAGGAAAATATGAAATTTGTAGTAGGTACTAACTGCCAAACGCAGCAAACATACTTAAGTCCTTACTACCTGTTTCGAGCTTAATATAAACAAACAACTTTCATATTCCTAACTTAATCTGTCAACTTGAGTGACATAGAACACCTCTTCAGTATGCTTTGTGATGTGTTACCATTTAATGCCATGATTAACAAAATGTTACTTGAACTGATCCCTTAAACTTACACTTAAGCCGGGCGGTAGTGGCTCACACCTTTAATCCCAGCACTCGGGAGCCAGAGGCAGGCAGATTTCTGAGTTCGAGGACAGCCTGGGCTACAGAGTGAGTTCCAGGAAAGGCTCCAAAGCTACAGAGAAACCCTATCTCAAAAAAAAATTAATAATAATAATAATAATAATAATAATAATAATAAAATAAAAAATAAATAAAAACCTTACACTTAAAAAAGTGGAGAAAACTGTTTAAAATATGCACAACTAATAAAAATACCACTTCTTGTTGTGCTACAAGTTAAGAACTACAAATAACTTGTGTCTTTGCCTTTTTAGCTAACTCGTGGGTTAGGAAGTATGTACTAACAATCTTATATCTTAATTCATCGATGAGCCATGTTACTACAGTCACAAAAATACACAAAGTATCTCCAACCAAATTGGCAATTAAAAAGATCAGAGGGATGGCTCAGTGGTTAAAAATGCTGGCTGTTCTTGCAGGGGACCCAGGTTTGATTCCCAGTACCCATGTGGCAGCTCACAACCATCTCTAACTCCAGTTCCAAGAATCTTCTGGCTTCTGGAAGTACCAGGCATGCACTTGGTGCACATACATACACACAAAGCACCCGCACACATAAAATAACAAAATAATTAAAAAGAAAAAAGAGTCACAAACACATAATTTTAAAGTTTACTTTAAAATGTAAATATCTCCCAGTATTTAACAGGTAAAGAAAATAGCATATTGATTTTGTGGTTGTTATATTTTTATTTTCCAAGTAATACTGATTAAAAATATTTACACACCTACTTTTAAGTCCACAGTTTAGCACTCTTATTTGTATGGCTTTAAAAGTTATAGCACAAAATCTTTACATTAAGGATTGGGGAAAAAGATTCCATTCAAAACAAAGCCTGATATATTATATACATACTTTTCCTCTGTACTTTATTTTAAATACATTAATTTTAAAATGATGCTCATCTAACTGTTTTTTTCATCTGGTGGTAAAATATTAGTGCAACTTCTCATCAAAATAAAGTTTACCACAGATGTAAATGAATTGTTCCAATTGAAAATGGCCCTTCAGCTGCCGTTAAATGAAAAATTTTCAATGTAACTTAAAGGAAAAAGAATTGGTAGTTGTCCTTAAGCAGAAACACCGAGTACCAGAGCAGTTTACACTGCTCCTCAGAACACACGTTCAGAGAAGCAGAGGTGTTTTACCAAACAAGTTTTGTTGGTTTTGAAAAGGCACAAGGGTGGTTTTTTTTTTTCTTTTCTTCTTTTTTTTTTTTAACATTCTAGGAATTCTGCCACTACCATTTGTTTTTGGAGACAGCATTTGCAACCACTGGACAGACAAGAAGGTTGTTCAAAATAAAGCCAGCCAGACCCCAACGTTAACTGCACAGTAACAATGCACGTCCCTCATGCAGCCTGTGTTGCCTACATTACATACTCGATTTCCTAACATGCATTAGAATACAAAGAGACGTATTCTAATGGTTTTATAAGATGCAAAGAATTTAAGGAAGGACATGACCTGGGGAAGAGAATACGGAGACCCTTACCACAATGAAAATAGATGCATTCGTACCCAACTATATAATAAGAATATAATTCATTTAAGTTACCAGAAATATACTTCTCAAAGCTCTCACTCATTATGAGAAATATTCCCACTCTGTGGCATTAACTGGAAGGAAGGACATCAGTCTGTTTCCATAGAAACAGTTCAGCACAACAGGAAATAGTATAACTTTGGTCCACTTATCTGATAGCTTAAGGTCACATTGCCCATCAGTTTACCCCAAGGTAAATTTAAAAATTGTTCTTTCATTCTAAAACTGGCACAGACGTCCTGTCATCCTGTCCTTCTCCAGCTTGGGAACACTCTCCTGGGGTGGTCTCTAGCCCCTCAGCATCTTCGGGATCCTCCATGGCAGCCTCAGCAGCATCTGCATGGCTAGGCTCGCTCTCCTCCTGGCTCATGATTTCGGGAGTCATGTGATCCAAGTCAGCTTCTAGAAGCTCAGTCTGTACTTCCATTGGCATCTGGTTTACCCGTTCCACGTGCAGCTCCTCCACGTGCACTTCCGTGCCTTCTTCAGTCTGAATCCGACCCACTTCCAGGTAACTCACTTGGACCTGCTCTGGAAGCTCGCTCATGTGTGAATCGTGCACTTGGCCGTCCTGGAGCAGATCTGGATGGACCTGTTCCACAGTTACTTGTGCTGAATCCACCTGGACCTGAAGCAGTGGTAATACATGCACCTTCCCAACTTGTTCTATAATAGTCATTGACGTCACTGGTTCAGTCTGTACATGTGTTTCCACTGAAAGAACCTCTTCAGTCACTATACGTTCTGAAATATTGTGAGCGTCACTAAGATGCCTTCTTAATTCATTTCCTTGCATAAACCACAAGTCACACAGAGTACAATGGTTGGGTTTATCTCCAGTGTGTATTACCAAGTGATCTTTGAACTGGTCCCAGCTGTTAAATACACTGTTACAGACCTGAAATCACCAAATAGAGGATGTTAATAACACTTATATCAAACTGAAGTAAATGTGAATACATTATCCTCCATCAAATATACTAAGGTGTTGAAGTTAGCTAAGTGAAGAACCTGCCAAACACAAACAAGGCACTACATCTGCTCTAATCCTGAGCACTGATAAACCATGACCAAAAAGAAAAAAACCCACAAAGAATATACTACATGGGCTGACTGTATAGTTTAGTAGTAAGAGTATTTCCCTAACATATGGGATGCCCTGGGTTTAATCCGCAGTACAGAAAAACAAAAAAACCCCACAAAACACTATCACCCATCCTGGTAAAGTGAGTGTTACAAAAATATTTTGAATCTAGTTTCCAGTATACCTAGTGCAAAGCTATTTCACACACTTGGTTTCATTTGCTCTCTCTGCCCATACAACTAACAATTTACTAGATTCTGGAAACATTTTAGCATTGCTCCCATTAAGTATCAAATATAAAGTAATAATATCATCGTTTCTCCCACAGCTTCAAGATTTAGACCCACTACATTATTTGGGACAAAAATATACTAATCATGGAAGACACAGCTGTATCTTGTCTGCCTTCTCTGTCCTCCCAAATGCTAATGGTTGTTCCTATGGTTAAGAATAATAACTAACGGTGGACAGGTGAGACAGCGCATGGTAAAGGCGTTTGCCACCAACTCTGGGCACCCGAGTTTCATGTCTGGAACCCACAGGATGCACAGAGGAAAAACTCCTGCAAATTGTCCTCTGACCTTCATGCACGGCAGCATGTGAGCCCACTGCCATAAGTAAATAAAAAGAAACACCCAAACCAATTAGTCGAAAAAAACCAGATGTGGTGGCACACACCTGAGCACGAGAAGATTGTAATTCAAGGTCATCCTTGCTACACAGTGAGTTTGAGGCCAGCCTGGGCTATGACAGACTGTCTTTAAACCTGGACATCCATAAGCACTACTGTAGTTTCAGACTGCTATTTAGGACAATTGTTATTAATACTGATCATCTAGGGTTTAATAAAAACAAACAACAAAAATATTCTAATAACCTGTCAGGCGGTGATGGCACACGCCTTTGATCCCAGCACTGGGAGGCAGTGGCAGGCAGATCTCAGAGAGTTCAAGGCCAGCCTGATCTATAGTTCCAGGACAGCCAGTGCTACACAGAGAAACCCTGTCTCAAAAAAAAAAAAAAAAAAAAAAAAAAAAAAAAAAAAAAAAAAAACACCCCCCCCCACCCAAATTCTAATAACCCATACAAAATAATAGATTTTCTTTATTCCCAAGTCTTTCCGAGGTTCTATGGGCTGATGACTCTCGAGTTGCACAGTGATTCACCACTGCGCTGTTGTATCAAAAGTGCATTTACTGCACCTAACCTACAGACACTAGAGTAACACAAACAGGCATGTCCAACCCTTTGACACCGACATCTACAAAGTTCACATTCAGGAGCTGGGCAAGTTAAAAACCAAACAAAAACCCTCCGTGTTGAATTTTACAGTTTTGTTTTTGTCCAAATTCATAGCTGTTCTGAAGCCACATACTGGACTCAGCCACGAGAGTATCAGTTTTGTTTGCTACCGTAACTGCACGGTTAACAACGGGAAGCCGAGGCTTGCTGCTGCCCAGTGTCCTAAGAGAACGTTCTACTGGGTATCACTGATTCAGGAAAAGGTCAGATTTCAAAATTCCAAGCAAGAGGGGTTTGAACACATAATGCTCTCTGCACTACTGTCAAGTCAAGCACTTCTACGTCAACCTTGTGAGTCAGGGACTATTTACTCTGCACTTCTAAGGACTGCCCATTAGTTCCTTTTGTGAGAACAAAACACACCCACACATACCTGGCATTCGTAAAGCTTCTTCCTTCCCTTTTTTGCCCCTACTCCAGTTTGGCACGCAGTGAGGTGACATTTCAGAGTGCTATTTCTAGCAAACCGCTCATGACAATTTGAACATTCAAAAGGTTTTTCACCTATTGTAAGAAATAAAAAGACATTGATAAATTGAGAATATCAGCAAACCCAAGTACAAGAGTCCATCATTTTGGTTATTAATTTTTTTCTTTTTTCTTTTGCAGTGCTAGGGACCGAATCACAGGTTTCATGCAAGCCAGAAAAATGACCTACCACCGAGGCACACCTGTGGCTAACTTGAAGGTCCTAGTCATCATGGTCGTCTTTGAAACAGGGTCTCTCTATTATGTATCTCTGGCTGTCCTGGAACTCGCTCTGTAGACCATGCTGACCTCCAATTCAGAGATCCACATGCCTCTGCTCCCAAGTGCTGGGATTAAAGGTGTGTAGGTGTGTACCCCTATACCCAGCTCATCTTCCTAAGTGAGTGAGTGAATGAGTGTGAGAGAGAGTGTGTGTGTGTGTGTGTGTGTATGTAAGGTGAAGGGCAAGATTTGCCATGTATACCAGCTGACCTCAAACTCTTATAGTCATTCTTCTGAGTGTGCCTCTACCTCTCCAGTGCTGAGATAGTAGGCAGGAGCCACCATACATGGGTTTCCTTTCCCCTTTTCTTTTCTTTTCTTTTTAAATAGTTTCACTGTGCTCCCCATGCTGGAATTAAACCTAAAATCTTCCCCCTCAGCTTCCAGTGCTACAACTATAGGCATGAACGGCATGCCTGACTTAACACATCCTTAAGAAGGGGAACACAATTTATAACTTGTGCTTTGGCACACTTGAAATTATTTTTCCTTAGACAAAAATCATGATCAATCTCTGCTTTATGGAAATATAGAATTATCTTTTCCCTAAAAAATTTTCTTTTTTGCACTTACCATGCACCAGATCACACTTTAGGTGATGACAATAAAAAAAAATAAAGACATAAATGTGCAGATCCATAGTCTCATTACTTAGGAGAGGCTGAGGCACAAGATTCTGAATTTGAGACAAATTTAGGCAAATTTGGGCAACAGGCACTGAAGCATGTTGGTGACTGCCTTTAATCCTGGCACCAGGAGGCTGAGATGCTAAGTTCTGGGCCAATAAGGGCTATATAGTGAGAATCTGTCTCTAACCAAACTAAAAACAAACAAAATAAGCGGCTGTTTTGAGCTTTTTCATGAGAATAAATTCAAAGCACTACAGACTTACTAAAAAAGGGTGCTGAGGGACAATGCTGCAGCAGGGTAAAGCGGGGCAATGCTGCAGCAGGGTAAAGCGGGGCAATGCTGCCTGGAGCGGAAGGGGCCGAGGAAGTCTACTTTCAGAGCACCCAGCACAGCACCGCAGAGCAGAGTAACTAACTACGACTCCCGAGTCTCAGGCTCAGCACGCCACCTGGAATGAAGAACCAAGGGTGCAGGAGTGCACATGAAGTCTGCAGTGGGGCTGCAGGAAAGGACCATGAATTTAGTTTGTTTGCAGAGTAGCACAAAGCCCTGAGTTTAATCCTCAGCACCATAAACTGGGTGTGGTGAAGCACACCTGTAATCTCAGTACTTGGGAGGTGGGGGGCAGTTTTATATCTGAAGTACGAGGTCATCCTGGACAATATATTTATTGAATTCAAGGCCACATGAAACCAAGAGAGGCTAGAAATGGCTCAGCAGCTGCTCTTCCAGAGGATCCAAACTTGGTTCCCAGCACACACATAGCAGCTCACAAACATTTACTGACTCCAGTTCCAGATCTGATGCCTTCTAGTCTGTGTGCACAGACTTATATGCAGGCAAAACTTCCATACATATTTAAAAGAGGGAGGTTAAGAAATCGAATTTTAAGCCGGGCCTTTAATCCCAGCACTTGGGAGGCAGAGGCAGGCCTCTGTGAGTTCGAGGCCAGCCCGGTCTACAGAGCTAGTCCAGGACAGGCTCCAAAGCTACACAGAGAAACCCTGTCTTGAAAAACAGAAAAAAAAAAAAAAAGAAATGAAATTTAAAAAGGCACTCAAAACAGAGATTCCCAAGAGGTAGTTGTATAGACAATTCTGAAGCCAGATACAGAATGGACTGATATATAGATAAAGGGGTCATTTTCAGTGGCAACGAATACTTCCAAGATGGATCAAAATTCTCAGCGTGTTATATAACTACACAATCCCGAGTAGGCTCTACGGAAACCGCAAGTTAAGACAGCAGGTAGATGAGCTAACAGTGGAAACGGAACTCCCAAATGATACCAGGGAAACTTAGAGTAGCCGGTGTACAGGGGGACCAGGGGCCAGGTTTAGCCAGAATGGAGGGGTTAATGAGAAGCACCACAGTAAGAACAGTACAGAGTTCTTTCAAGAAAGCCTACAAGTAGGGCTGAGGATGAGGTTTAGTGGTAGAATGCTTGTTTAGCATGCACAAGGCCCTGGGTTCCATTTCCAGAAACATACATACACGTACTCACTCTTTAAAAAGTGGGGGTGTGTGTGTGAGAGGAGGACTGACTGGAAGAGATTTCTAATCAACAAGAAATCAGCACCTGTTGACTTTCTGTGGGAGAAGGCAGGGGAAGGGGAAAGAAGGGTTGGAAATAAAGATGGACATATGGTTCAAATTGTAAGATTCAGCACTGGTCTTTAAAGAAAAAACAAGGTGTAGGAGGCATGGGTAAAAAGAGCTGTGCTAACTCAAAAGTGAAGGGGAGGGTCTTGAAAGGGTCCAGCAGGAATGTGGAGAGGCAATTAGAAAAAGACAAGACACTGCCTCACTTAAGGTCTGAGAGGCATTTTCTCCAGCACTTCTCCCTCACAGGGACAGAACAGCTGCAATGACTCCACGCGGAGGCTGTTTGTAAATACACGTAGAATCCTTCCATGCAGGAAAAGACACGACACGGTTCACGCTAGGACGGAAGTCAGAAACATGATAAGCTGGTGGGGAAGGAGAGCTGAAAGGTTGGAAGTGGAGGGACAAGAACTGTGGAGAGGACAGGATTCAAAGACAGCACGGTATTTGCAGAGAACAGAACCAGGACATCCGAGGCTTCGCTACCCCAGCAAAGACCTTCTGGATATGACCAAAAATACTCAAGTTGACTGACACAAGTTACCAAGTCACATGCTCTTCTCCCAATAGAAAATATTAGGTAACACCTAATTATCTAGAATTAATGTTAATACAGGAACTCTTTTTAATTCAAGAAACACTGAGAAATATGCTCAACAGAATGATTATATTTCATTAGTGTATAATTTTTCAATACCAATGCAATCTATAAGCATACAATGTAATGGCCTTTTATAAAAACAACGTGAAGGGCTCAGGAAGATGGCTTAGTAAAGTGTCAGCAGTGCGAGCTGGAAGCCCTGAGTTTGGAGTCCCAGCACTGACCTAAAAACCCAGCTGTGGGAGAGCACAGCTGTAACTCCAGCCCTGGAGGTGATATGGTAGTAGGTGGACACAGGTAGCTCCACGGAGCAGCCAGCCAGTGGGGGAGCTTCAGGGTCAGTGAGAGATTCTGTCTCAAAATTAAGGTGGACAAAGACACCTGAAGTTGATCTCTGGCTTCCACAGCACATATACACAGAAGTGCACTTACTCACATGTATGTGACATCCAAAAACCCATGCAGACACATGCTAAACACACACACACACACACACACACACACACACACACACACACACACACACTGTACACTTGTATGCAGAGAGGGAAAGAGGGAGGGATAGAGGGAGGAAAAAAAAAGATCAATCTGATGTTTGCCAAGACTTCTTTAGCCTGGCAATTCTGTTCTTAAAAATTAAATTGCATAGGCCAGCAAGACGGCTCAGCACTTGCTGCTAAGACTGCTAAACTTGAGTTCAATCCCTGGAACCCACACAGCAGAAGGAACTGACTCCCAAAGGTTGTTCTTTGATCCCACACTCACGTGGTGGCGAGGGCATACATACAATACATGCAATAAAAAGCCTTTAAAAGTACATCACATGAACAGGTGTATAAAGACAAATGTACAAGGATGTTTGCAATGTCACATTTGGTAAACTCTAGCAAAAACCTGTGTTTACTCAGGGCTACAGTGACATGTGCTAAAATAGCATGTAGTCACAGTAAAAAAAAAAAAAACTAAATCCTTCTAAGTGTTTCATTTGCAATCCCAGAACTTGGGAGGCTGAAGCAAAAGGATAAGCTGGGCTACTTAAGGAGAACTTGCTTTAAAAAAAAAAAAGAAAAGAAAAAAAAAAGGGAGCATGAGTCTAAATGAAAGGTATGAACTGCTGCTTGCTCTTTTTTCCCAGAAGTGTGTGCTTACAGTCACTTGATAATGCAAGGGATATGCCTGAAGGTTAGAGGCAAACACTCTCCACCACTGACCTACTGACCCTGGCCTGGCCCGATGGTAGTGCTAGGTGCTTTGTATGTATGACCAAGCAATGCTCTCCAGCTAAGCTATCCCTCTGAGCCAGTAGCTACTTTTTAAGAGATCTATCCTAAGTAGGAATGAATCACTTTCCACTGCATGCCACTTGAGCTGTTTCTATTAAATAATTAGTTTAATAAGCCTGGTGAAATCTAGAAATAACCAGATGACTTTTTTTTTTTGGGGGGGGGGAGGATTGAGACAAGGTTTCTCTGTGTAGCCTTGGCTGTCCTGAAACTCAGTTCTATAGACCAGGCTGGCCTCGAACTCACGGAGATCCACCTGCCTCTGCCTCCCGAGTGCTGGGATTAAATGCGTGCGCCACCACTGCATGGCTTTTTTTAAAAAAACATGTAGACTATTAGTCTTCAGAGTGCTTCCACCCTCCTCTATCTGTCAGGTCTGGGGAAGTGTACCATTATCCTTAGTGAAAAGAAAGGAGCCTCAATATAAAGTGAGCCACCATGTTCATCAGACTGGTAACTGTCAAGACTGTAGCCAGAATTCAACTGCCATTTTTGTTTTCTGATTCTCCTTGGAAAGCTGGGAACAACTACTTGACAACATGCTGAAGTCACCTCAAGGTTCCTTTCCAATGCATCTATCACAAGGATCTGGTATTGTCCTCAGCCCTCGCTGGCTTATGCCAGTCACACCAACACCGAGTTAGAGATCACTTTTTCACCAAATCCGGCGGACCCTGGCAGTTTCCCATTCTTTCAATACTCCAAAAGATTTCCTCATCAGAGCCAGCAGGCTTTACTTCACATCAATCTACTTTGCCAGTCACTGCTCTAAAACAGAAATCTGACCCTTCTGCTTCCACATTTACGCCTACAAGGCAAAGCTCAGTTTGCTTCTGTACTAAACAGACCCTACGGTGAGCATGTGGCTCTAGAATTTATAACTAGTAAAGCTAATTAAGTTACTTGTTATCTCACATCCTTTCGAGAGACAGGGAACCTAAGTTCTTAGCCCTCTATCCACAGATGGAAAGTCCCTTCTCAGTGCCCACTCACGGCGCCAGGGGCCCAGCAATCTCTGGGCACACCCTTACTTTGACCCAACTCCAGTCACAACTGGCGTTACTGCTTTCCTCAGGACTGTGTCTTCTTTTGCTTGAAAACCCTTTTCCACACTACTTTTCCTGTGAGTCATCATCACTGGAGCTGGACCTTGAGGAACAACCCGTTTTCTGAACCTGATTCCTCAACTTCAATTAGTGTACTACAAGTGACTTTGCGCAGTGAGATAGCTATTTTAAAAAAAGAAGAAAAGAAATCAACACTAGTAGCTGTGCAAATCCTAGTACCAAAGATTCTGAATGGTATGTGTACCTATGTTCTGTTTCCGTATCAACACTCATGCCTTCCTCACTACATGTAACAAGACTTGGGCACAACTGCTTAGAATATATGGGGTTTAGAGCATCACTGGTAGGAGGCCCCATGCTTGACTAAGGAAATCTAGCAAGGAATGCTTGCGGAGTTAAAACAAGGACAAGGAATCCAGTGTGTGTGTGTGTGTGGGGGGGGGGGGGGAGAAACGACACACAAAGAGAGGCTTCCTCTTCTAGAGTGGCACAGCTCTCAGAACAGAGTACACCCCACCTCCCCTGGCGGTCTACTAGTCCTGACGTATTTGCCATTTAGGGAGGTGGAGGGTGACAGACACAGGACTATCTTTTTCTGGCTCAAGAACATATTATTACTACTGGAAGTAAAGTGCCTACTGCACAGATGTGTGTGTGTACCCCCGACACCATGTACAAAGCCAGGAATGGCAGGGTGGGTACGTAACCCCAGCATCTGGCTAGGGGTGAGGAGTGAGGGTAGATCCCTGAAGCTTTGCTGACTTGATTAACCTCAGGTGCAGTGAGACTGCTTCCAAAAATACAGTTGAAAAGCAATATTGAGGAAAGACTCATCCAGCTCTGGCTTCTACACACGCAGGTGCACACCAGGCGTGCCCACATGCCCACGAAACACCTGCAGAATGCAGCACACACTCCCAAGACAATTAAATGTGCCCCCGAAAAGGAAAAAAAAATAAAAAATAAAAAAATAAAATATATATATATATATATAAATGTTAAGATTGCTTATAAATGTCTATCTATGTAACATATTAACATGAGAAACAAAAATAGAATAAAGTCATGCTATAGTTAGTATTTAATAATTCATGGTACTTAGCAAATAAACTTTTTTTATGTTTTTCGTGGCAGGGTTTCTCTGTGTAGCTTTGCACCTTTCCTGGATCTCGCTCTGTAAACCAGGCTGGCCTCGAACTCACAGAGATCCACCTGCCTCTGCCTCCTGAGTGCTGGGATTAAAGGCGTCCGCCACCACCACCCAGTACTTTTTTACATATTTCTTTAAAGAATATAAAAAAGGGCAAGACATACAAGAGTGACAATCATCTTCAAGGTTGGCACTGATTTGCATGGAAAGCATCAAATATTTCAAGAAATGGGCATGTACGTACCCTGCTCATCAGAAAACACAGGGAAAACCAGGATTCAGACGTTGTCAAGTATTTCAAGTATTTGCTAATTACCTGTATGTTTCCGAAGGTGCTCTTTAAAGTGTCCAAAGTGGTCAAACTGTTTGTCACAGTACTGGCATATGTGGATTTTTTTCCCAGTTCTCTGCTTCTTACTCACCCCACCTTCTTCAA